TGTTATCACTGGAGGTTTTAAAAATTCTATTCTAGTTCTAGTTCTGTATATTAGTCATTTTAATTATAATGTGTCATGGAGAGGTTTTTGTTGCTCTTGGCTGTTGTGAAAGTCTCCTGTATCTGGATGTCCATCACATTCTGAAAGTTGGAAAGATTTTTTATTATTATTTCCATGAAGAGTTTATCAATTCCCTTAGCCTGCATCTTACAATTATCTTCAACTCCACTGATTCTTAAATTTGTTTCTTAATGTTGTCCCAGAGGTCTTGTATAGCCTAATTATGTTTGCTTATTTTCTTTTCTTTAATGTCATCTGAATGTTCAAGGCCAGTCACTTTGTCTTCCAGTTCTGAGATTCTGCCTTTAGTATAGTTTACTCTATTAGAAAGACTTTCAACTGAACATTTTGTTTGATTTATTTTGTTTTTAATTTACAATGGTTATTTTTTAATATTTCTATCTGCTTATTGAACTTCTCATTCATATGATATACTGACTTCTTAATTCATTCAGTAGTTTTTCTGTGGTCCCTTGAAATTTACTGATCATTTTAATGTTTCTTTTGAATTCTTTATCTGATATTTAAACCACTTAATCAGTTGCTGATAAGTAACAAACTTTAGGAGGTGTCATTTTACCTTGTTTTCATATTTCTTGTACTCCTATGTTGTGTTTTATGATTCTTCCAAAGTGAAGTTCTGGGAAACTACAGCTACATTACTGTGTTCACTTACCAAAGTGTCTTAGAGTAATTTACATTGAGAACCCCTCATAAGTGTGATATCCACAGTCTTTGTGCTAATTCACTGTTTTTGCTATAGCAGTGGATATTTGAAGATGGGACCTGGGGGTCCACACTTATCCATTTTTACTTGGGACCTGGTTGTAAGTTTGTGTTTCTTTCTCTTCTGGTCATTAAAGTACAGCTGAATTTGAGTGTCATTTATTTGTGTGTGGAGCAAGGTGTGCTGTTTAGGTTGAGTTTAGTTCAATAGCAGAGTCTCTATCATGTTAACTTGTAACAGAACTTCACAGAATAGAGTAAAACAAATAATAGCTACAATCGGTGCAAATAATATATAGCATTAAAATAAATACCAAGGACCTTATATGATATGTATAACATTAATTACTACCCAAACCAAAAAATGGTGAGATTAGCAATTTTCAACAGTAAAAACAATTACCATGAACTATATATGGTTGTAAAGCAAACAGCTTGTGTTGACTATGTTATCCACAGCAGTAATAATTGCATCAGATTTAATGGTGGGGACAGGAGTTATATAAACCAATTAGTTCTAAAAGATGGCAAAAATACAGTTAATTAAGAGAAAAGAAAATGTGCTAGGAAGGTAGAAAAGAGTTTACAATTTCAAAAAGTAATCAGAATGCAGAAGAGATGTAGCAGTTAATAGTTATAAGGATGGAGGAGACAATGGAAGAAACAAATAGGAGAGAGAGAGAGATAACAATAGAACTTTTCTGTTAGAAGAAAAGAAACAAATGACAACCATACAAAAAATATATAAACAAATAAAGAACTTTAATCCTCAAAAGACAAGGCAGGGAAAAATAATGCATTTAAAAATGCTAAAAATGAGGGGGATAAAACCAAATATGTATATTAAATATGGACTTAAACCAATCAGCACAGACATCTCTCCTTCCCTCCCTCCCTCCCTCTCTCTCTCTCTCTCTCTCTCACACACACACACACACACACACACACACACAAAGAGAGTGAGAGAGCTGCCAGTTGGAGTGGTTTAAGACTCAAGCTGATTGAAATAAGTCTCACCTTCCCTTCTCACCAACATGAGGTAGGATGAAGTGGAAAGCACTGTCAGTTGGAGTTCTGTCCACACATATTGTTGCATTCCCAAGGTGGAGTTGCTGCAGAGTTCTACAAATGGAGTTCTGAAAGTTGGGAATTAGGTCTTCAGGCCACAGGGGCTTTGTTGGTGACATCTGCTCTGGACACATCAGATCAACATACTCCTAGGGCCTTGCAGTTGCTAATCTCTATTGGAAGTCTGGATCTCAAGAGCCTCCCAGGAATTCTAGTTCTGAGGCAGGTAAGCTAATCTTCCTCACACTCTGCTGCCCAGAAACATATTTGCTAGGCTTGATCCCTGAGTGTATTCACATCTAGCAGTTCAGATTTCCAATTAGCTTCAGCTGGTCATGTGAGCTGCCAGACTAAAAAAGGAAAAGCAAGTTGGTGCCCCTTTCACTTTTCCAACTTGAATTCCACTGGGTACAATCTTTTCTGTGCCTATTTTACTCATGTTCTCCTAGACCATACAGTAGGTACCTAATGGGACAGTGTGACACTGTTTGCTAGGATGATCTCTTGGCTTCTGAAGCAGCAGCTGCAGAATATTTACTTCAAAATGGATCCCACCTCAGCTCTCTGGTCAGTTGGAAAACAGAACTTTTCAAACACCAATGCACAGAGCATCCTCTGGATCAGCTAAGATCAAGCCACTTTTCTGATCTCAGGTTTTTCCATACCAAATCTATATTTCTCTATGTATTATTCCTCCCTCTATAGTGAACCAGCACCACTACCACTACTGCTGCCCCAAGCAGCTCTGCTCTATTATACTCTTTTCTTCTTCATTTAATGAACCCAAGTTACTCTGGCTGTCCAATATTAAATTTTAGTGAGATCCCTCTTTCACCCACCCCCTGAGGAACAGTACTCCCATTGCTTGAATCCCAAGCGATGGAGCAACTAAGAATGAAGTCTTTCTCTATTCCATCATCTTGAATCTCCCAAGCATGAAGATTTAAAACCCCAAATTAAGGTGTTTTCATGGCTACACTCCTTCTGAAACATCTAGGGAAGAAACTTTTCTGCCTCTTCTATCTTCTGGCATTCCTTGAATTGTAACAGCATAACTCCAAACTCTGCCTGAACCCTCACCTGGAAATCTTCCTTCTGTGTATATCTATACTCTCCAATTTTTATAAGGATATCAGTTATATTAGATTAATGGTTCATCCTATCTCATTATGACTTCATAATAACTAATTATATCTGCAACAGTCTTACTTTCAAATATGGCCACTCTGTAGTAGCAAGGGTAAAGAATTTCAACTTTGTGGGGACACATTCAATTTTGAACAACTAGTATACAAAAATGCAACTGATTTTTTGCTTATTGATCCTGTATACATTCAACTTGATGAATTCATTTCCTACAGGTTGGGCTTCCTTTTTACAAAATGCTTGAGGCCAGAAGTATTTCAGATTTCAGGCTATTTCAGATTTGGGAAAATTAACATAGATTTTACAAATTGAGCATCACTAATTAGAAAATCTGAAGTCCAAAATGTTCTAAAATCCAAAACTTTTTGAGCATAATGTTGGCACTCAAAAAGGTATGGTGGTACATGCCTGTAATCCCACTGGCTCATGAGGCTAAAGTGGGAAGATCACAAGTTCAAGACTAACTTCAGCAACTTAGCAAGATCTTCAGCAACTTATTAAGACCCTGTCTCAAAATAAAAAATAAAAAGAACTGGGGATGTAGCTTAGTGGTAAAGTGCCCCTGGGTTCATTCCCTAGTACCACCCCCCCAAAAAAAGTTTCAAAGTAGGGCAGGAGGTGGAGGAAAATGGGAACATGTTTGTGAAAAGAACAGAGTTACATAGCAGTATTAAGTTCTAGAGTTCTACAACATGGTGACTATAGTCAATAATGATATATTGCAGAATTCAACAACTCTAAGACAGTAGATTTTTAAAGTTCTCACCACAAAAATCAATAATAAGAATGTGAGAAGAAGATTACCTCTAGATAGGGAAGAGAGGTGGGAGGGAAAAGGAGGGAGAATGGGAATTGCATAGAAGATGGAAGGAGACCCTCATTGTTATACAAAATACATGTTTGACAATGTGAGGGGGAAAAAGTGTGTCACAGTAGATTGGATAGAGAGAAGTGATGAGAGGGGAGGGGAGGAGGAGAGGGGAAAGGAAGGACAGCAGAATAAAATAGACATTATTATTGCTGTGTGTATATATGTGACTGCATTAACCAATGTGATTCTGCAACCTGTACACTCAGAAAAATGAGAAATTATATCCCATCTGATTCAAATGTATCATACGTCAAGATCATTGTACTGTCATGTGTAACTAATTAAAACAAATAAATTTAAAAAAAAGAATATGATGGTGAATATGCTATATTGCTTAATTTGGATATTCTACAATGTATGCACATATCAAAACACCATGTAGTACACCATCAATAAACATGATTTTATTTGCCAATTAAAAGAAAAAGTACATTTACTTAAAAGAGGAATTATATGAATTTACCACTGAAAAGACTATACACACACTACATTTTGTATCATTGTGATTTTTCTTATTTTTTCAAACTATGGTAAAATATATATAAAATAAAATTAACAATCTTAACCATTTTAAGTACTGTTCAGTCATGTTAAGTGAATTAACATTATTTTATAACCAATATCCAAAACTATTTTCATTATGTAAAACTAAGCTTTATATGCATTAAAAAATAATTTCCCGGGCTGGGGATGTGGCTCAAGCAGTAATGTGCTCGCCTGGCATGCGCGGAGCGCTGCGTCGATCCTCAGCACCACATAAAATAAAATAAAGATGTTGTGTCCACCGAAAACTAAAAACTAAATATTAAAAAATTCTCTATCTCTCTCTCTCTTTAAAAAAAATGATAATTCCCCATCTTCCCCTCTCCTTGTCACTTTGCAATCATCATTTTACCTTCTGTCTCTAAAAATCAGACTAGATAACTTATGTAAGGGGACTTATACAGTATTTTTCTTTTAATGATTGGCTTATTTTACATAGTACAATGTCCTGTTATTCTTGTCATAGCATAGATAAAGCATTTTGTTTAAGGCTAAATAATAATCCATTATATGCATATACCACATTTTGTTTATTCATTTATACATGCTATAATTAGGGGAAAAAAGAGTTGTTTTAAAAGTTTACCTTTTCAACATATCTGACTGTTTTTCAAATACTTTCAACATCATATTGAATTGGTTAGTCATTGAAGCAGTATCTATTATAATAAAAGTAAAGGCATTAGAATGACTGAAGTTATAGTTCTATGCTACTATAACTCATGCAATAGATGTTAAAACTGAATAAGCATAATTAGGAGATAGGAGGGTGAAATGAATACTAAATAGCAAAATGCTTATGATGAATGAAAATATAATTTTATTAAATACATATTATGTGCAAGTCTTCATGTTACTTTGCATTCTCTTAATCCTTAAAATAACTCAAAAAAGAAAGTACCATCACTATTTTTAAATTAAGAAATTCAGGCACAGAGAGATTATATAATTTATCCAAAACTTGGCCTCTGATAAATTAAAAACTTTTACTGAGGTCCAACAAATGTAAATTATATGTGATAGAGCACATGTGTGATAGCTGCTGCTAAAAACAATAGAAAGAATATGTCTAACCTATTGTTTTCCAATTGTATCAAATAACTTAAATAGAAAACTGAGATGCTTCTTAAAAAGGTAAACAATAATCCTTTTTAAGGATTCATAATAATCAATGGGAAAACAAGATTTTTCAGTCTTGGGACATTAAAAAGTACAAGACAGAAGACAACTGCATCAGGTTTTCTACTAACCAAGATGAGATATTACATGTACAAAGAAAATGTTAAATAATATGGAAACATATAACCTGATGCATAACTATAGTAGTGGGGTTGTTGGATCATATAATGGTTCCTGTCGTAATTCAAAACAGTATTTTAAGAGCAATCTGATAATAGCATACAATATATATCTTGAATATGATAAAGAATTATGAGGAATAAAAACTGTTATTCTGGTTACAATTTGAAAATTCAATATTCAGAAAAAAAAATGCCATTATCTATCTATGACTCCACTAACTTAGGATCTTCAACTCAGTATTATTACAGGGCAGCAGCCTACTGTGAAGCCAAGGCAGCTGCAGAGGCCCTCACTTTGTAGCAATTCTTGCAACCATGATAAAAGGATTTCAGACATGTCACTTCAATTAGCGGGCATGACTTTATTAGAGGGGATAGGAAAAGGATAAAGGAAACACTCTCAAAGGAAAGAATGGATCATTTCATAGAGAAGAATGGCACACCCGCTCCTGCCCTCCAATTTTACTGGAGATCCTAGGGAAATTTCAAGAGAGTCTTGCCCCAGTCCACCTCTTGACTTTTGACTGATAGCTGGATGACATCAGACTTTCAAGTCCCACTGCAACTCTAGGTCACTTTGGCTCATGCAGACCTGTTTTAATTGGAACCTGCTCTTACAGATTTTATTATTGGGATATTAGCCTTAATCCTCTTGGGTTCTGGGATCTGGTCTGTGTAAAGGTCACAAAAGTTCCCTACTTCAGGGTGTCAAGAGTGGCAAATAAATTATTGCTTTGAACTCCATGGCCTTGGACAGCTTGACTGCCATATTTGGGAATCTTTTCATGCAAAGATGTAGAAAGATATGCCCATTTGCAGGCAGCCACTGTTAATGAGGCAGAATCCATGCCTAGTGTGGAATTTATTTGTTCCATAGCTTTGAATTTAGATGCCTTGGATAAGAGACAGAAGTGTGCCTAAACAGCCTTAACACACCAGCTGCCTGGAGGAGGAAGAATTACCATGCAAATGTTAAGTCCCCAACCAGCCCAACTTCCCCACAGCTTCTTTTTTACCTTGAGGAATCCCTCCTCACAATAAATTCTTTTGGTGTGTTTCACTATAAATACAGCCTTCATGGGCTTTTCCGTTTGTTAGGATCAGATCCATCAGGTCTCTTCCACCCATCATAACCCTGGCTTTGAAAACTATTTCTCTGTGTTGTTTTCTTTCTTTCTTTTTTTAAAATATTTTTAACTACAGATGAATACCATATATTTATTTTTATGTGGTGCTGAGGATTGAACCCAGTGCCTCACATGTGCTATCACTGAGCCATAACCCCAGTTCCTGCTTTATTTGTTAATACTACTTTTCCAGACTTTTAATTTCAGCTGCCCCACACCTCTGATTGTTACTTATCCCATCCCCATGCAGGTTGTAGGTGACATCAGGGTAAATTTATATTCTTTTTATTGGAATTTTCCGTTTTTATTTCCTCTACAGGTATTTTGCTGTTGCTGAGGAATGTGATATATCCTGTCAACTTAAATCAGGCAGGGGTATGGGTAAATTGCTTTTGAAAAATGAAAACATATGGAGATCAGCACAGTAGACCCAGGTTAGACAGTTATTCCTTCAACCTCACCACTTACATATGTCTGTTTCCTGTCATTTTCCCCTCAAAGATTTGGGGTTCCTAAATGTTTTTAGGAGATGTGGATATCAATTTGATCTGGCTGCTTACTGCTGAGAGAGGACAAAGTTATGGGGGATAAGCAATCAAAAGTCATTTTCTATCAGGTTGGACATGGACAGTTAACAGTACTTAGCATCAGGGAAGTCCAGAGGTCCATCATGGCAGCTGACAGGTGACTGATTGGCCAAAGTGTGTATAGAGCAGAGATCATGTTACTAGATGAAACTTTTGAAATTCCTTTGGGCCATAATGACTCCTTCCCTCCAAAGGAGGCAAAACTTGTGAAGTTCCTGAGGAGAATGTATATCCACTTGATGATGGTTAATATATTCTATATATGTCAATTAAGTCTAGGTTACTGATTGTGTTATTGAGTTCTATCGTTTCTTTATTCAACTTTTGTTTGGAGGATCTGTCCAATGGTGAGAGAGGTGTGTTGAAGTCATCCATGATTATTGTGTTGTGATCTATCTGAATCTTGAACTTGAGGAGTTTGTTTTATGAATGTTGCAGCACAATTATTTGGTGCATACATATTGATAATTGTTATGTCTTGTTGGTGAATGGTTCCTTTTAACAGTATACAGTGTCCTTCTTTATCCGTTTTGATTAACTCAGGTTTGAAGTTGATTTTATTCGATATGGCTACTCCTGCTTGCTTCTGAGGACCATGTGAGTGGTATGATTTTTCCCAACCTTTCATCTTCAGCCTGTGTATGCCTTTTCCTACCATATGAGCATCCTGAAGGCAGCATATTGTTGGGTCTGGTTTTTCAATCCAAGTTACTAGCCTATGTCGCTTGATTGGTGAGTTTAAGCCATTAACATTTAGTGTTACTATTGATATATGTTTTGTACTTCCAGTCATATTTGTTTGTTTGTTTATTTATTTATTTTAATTTGACTTGTTTTTCCTCTTTGATTATTTTCCCCCTTTTACTGAGTAACCTCCCACTGTTGGTTTTGGGTGCTGTTTTCATTTCCTCTTCTTGTAGTGTTTTGCTCAAAATGCTTTGCAGTGCTGGTTTTCTGGCTGCAAATACTTTTTACTTTTGTTTATCGTGAAATATTTTAATGTCATTGTCAAACCTGAAGCTTAATGTTGCTGGATACAATATTATTGGTTGAAATCCATTATTTTTCAGCGTTTGAAGTACATTGTTCCAGGATCTTCTCACTTTCAATGTCTGTGATGAAAAATCAGTCGTTAACCTAACTGCTTTACTCCTGAATATAATCTGCCTCCTTTCTCTTGTAGCTTTTAATATTCTCTCCTTGTTCTGTATGTTGGATATCTTCATAATAATTGTTCTTAGAGTTTGTCTGTTATGGTTTTGTATGTTTGGGGTCCTGTAGGCTTCCAGGATTTGGTAATCCATTCCATCTTTCATGTCTGGAAAGTTTTCTAAAATTATTTCATTCAACAGATTGCTCATTGCTTTGGTTTGAACCTCTATACCTTCCTCTATCCCAATGACTCAAGTTTGGTTTTTTTATGACATCACATATCTTTTGGATGTTTTGCTTTTGGTTTCTTACCAGCCTTTCTGCATTGACTATACTCTTTTCGAGTTGATATACTTTGTCTACATTATCTGATGTTCTGACTTCTATTTGATCCAGTCAAATATTGTAATATTCTCATTTGAGTTTTTTATTTAGTTTATGGTTCCCTGCATTTCTAGAATTACTGTTTGATTTTTTTAAATCTCTATCTCCTGGTAGAGTTGTTTTTTGCTTCTTGAATCTGCTTATGTAATTCATTTTCAAAGTATTCTTTCATTGTTTGGACTTGCTGTCTAATGACTTCTTTAAGCTTCCATTCCATCTGAGTCAGGTATGCCTTGAGTTCTTTCTCTGTCCATTTTTCTGATGCCTCTAGGTTCTCCTGTAAATTTAAGTTGTCCTGCATTGTTTGTAATCCTTTTTTCCCTTGTTTTTTCATGGTGTTCACGTTACTTTCCAACTCTGATTAACTGCTGTGTTTCTGTTTTCTCCTATAAATTTGTTTTGGTTTTGTATATCTATGTTGTCTCTCCTTTGTGGTGGGAGACTATGTCTTGAGATGTTGGGCTTTATTGTAATTTAAAGCTTACTCATTTGTTTCATAAAAGGCTTACGGATTATGTAGGCATATAGTGATCTGTTGTTTGGTCCTAGGACTTTATGTTTAGGTTGGGTGCTATGATGGTATGAAGGTTAGTATGTCTTGACTACTTTGGAAGATTGCTCTACTGAAGGAGGATATTAACAGGCGAATGGATCAGAGTATTTGGTAATAGCTAGGAACTTAGGAGTCCTATAGATAGCCTCGGAACATTCACCTATTTGCATTTAGAAAATTACACATAATGAAAGTTGTAATGCTTGGGATGGAAGTTAGGGGGAAGGGGAAGAAAGAAGTCCTTAAAGAGAAAGAGGGAGAGAAAAATAGGTAGAATAAAGGAGAATGGAAAGAACAATAAAAGTTGAAAAGGGGAAAGAAAAAAAAATGATAAATGAAGTCTTAGAGTTCTATTTTCTTCTCTTCCAGTAGGTGGAGCTGTGCCCTCCAAGCTGAGCTTCTCCCCTCTATATGCAGGAAGCAATCCCTGTAAGGTGGCTCCTCTTCCCCTACTGGGCCTCTCTCCAATCCTGTTAGCCCAAGGCCATTTCTCTTCTCCGGCCCCTCCTCCCTTTCTCCTGCCAGCCAGCCAGGCCCCGCTCACCGGAGGCATTC